GCAAAGGCGTTACGTGATGCCTCTATCTGCTGTGCATGAACAGTTAGCGAGCGATCCACTATGCGCTGGGGATAGGCGTATAATGAATGAATCACTCGCTAACTGTTTATAGCAGAGAAAATGGGCATCCGAAGTCCTCACGCTGTTTGCGCAGCTGGGAACACGTTGCACATCAGGAGGTTAACGGGATAAAGGCTGCTTTCATAGTCCGCCGGCCGGCGTGCCGGCGTGCCACGAGGCAGTGCTAGGGGGGAGGAGGCGGCAGACTGTCGGTCGAAGAGTTGAAAACAACGAAGAACAAGATCAGACCGAGTATCAGCATTTGATGGATTGATAGTTCCAGTCTCGCGGTTGAGCGAGCTCCCTAATGTCCATCAGCATTGTCTGAGCTCTTGCAGTGGCGGAAAATTCTTTTTTCGGACTGGTCTGCTCTTTATTGTCAAGTGCTATGTCGTGCTGTCGTCAGTGATATCTGTCTTCGGTTCTAGTAAGATGTTTTGTAAGCAATGACAAGGTCATGGTCTGCAGCAAGGTCGTGACTTGTTCTACCTGGCAAGGCCTGCGCTCTCAACACCATATGGATCGTTGCTATTTCATTAATGCTTTTCACTTCCACTACAGTGAGAGTTCCTGTGGCAGACTGACTACGAATTTAGGCTGGTGACTGCTCTGATAATTGCATCCGTTCGCAACGTGAAGTAGGACATTTGCACCTTCATCTCCGCAATTATCAGCCAACCACCAGTCAGTCGTTCTTCAACCACCATTCCGTTACAACCCTGTGAAATAGAGAATAACCAGGACCAGGTCCATGTCAAGTCCTCTCTGTCTTGAATTTTCTTGAGGGCAATTTCTCCATATTTCAAGTAGACTTCATGAGCATTTTCCCTCTCCTTGAAGCATGCTGAGTCAGAGCGAATGATTTGATCTGTATTCAACTACTCCTTGAAGCATGCTGAAACAGCAAGGATAATTTAACGTCATATTACCATACGTTAACGTTTCGACGGACTCATCGTTTTCAAAGGCCTCGCTTCCACCGCAAGAAGTAGCACCACGCTACAGGGTTAGTACAATTAGTAGTATGGTTTCTCACCTCGCGAGTTCATAAGTTGACTTTGGTTGAACGGGCGAACGTGCATTTCGTTTTTATGGGTCTCATTTCTTGGGAGTAGTCATTCCTGGAGCCACATATTTGTAATGGTTCATGAGACGCAGATCTTGAGTGCCGACAAAATTGAGTTGAACGCGGTCATACATGAGAAGAGGTCGACCGACACTGGTAGTGTCTGTTGTAAAATAGCTTGAGAACAGATGAAGACAGTACTTTGGAGGCGTCTCGAACATATCTAGGTTAGTCCCCTAGTGAACGCAGCGGGAAAAGAGCACTAGAGAAATCCAAGTGAATAGGAAGAATCGAGGTAAACAAACTACGTGTGGGGAAATGCGTAATCACAGCCGTTGCAGAATAAGGCATGCAATTGTGTGAGCAATTGCCCAGAGTATCCCTGCTGTCAAAAATGCTTTTTGCTCTCGCTATGGGCCAAGACTGAATGTAATCATAATCATGTGTTGCTGTGACTTCTACTTTGTTATTCTCTCCTACTTATCATGTCTCCTTCGAACAATCGCAAACCTGGGTTCCATAGCAGAATACAACCGTTGACGAACCCTTCTCGCACATTTTCTGATTGGCATTAGCACTTTTTTTAAACAAAAGTGACCCAAGGTATTTGTACTCGTGAAAGGTAGCGCAACCTCCACACCTTTAGCACACTACGCTAGGATGCGTGGACTCGAAACCCTGTGAGTATATCTGTGAAGGAACGTGTTAACACTTCCCTTTACGGGGTTTTTACAGATTCTCGAACCCTTCAGGCATCCTTTGCTGTGTGAAAGACGACACGCGGGATTGTACTATACACGCAAGTGCAGGAACCCGTAGTTCTTCAACAAGCGAAGGTCATGGACGCCGTTGCTCACACCGAAGATCACAAGGAATCGAAGATCAGATGGGCGGACAGCTATGCAATGTCGTGATGACCACTGAACGAAGGTTATTACTTTGTGGATCTCTCGGGAGGGTAACCAAATACCAGGACGGCTGATGGCCAGACTCCCTCATCAGAGGAATGGTATGCCTCATACCTCTCTAGCTAGGCCAATCTACTGGACTGCTCGTTTACAACAGGGACGAATGGAGACGACACTAGCGCATAACTGTTCCCGTACGTGTCATTTTTGTTGCAAAACGTCCTTTCGAGACCCTCAGTAGATCAATTAAATTAGATTATTGTTTACAGTACTATCTTCTAACAGACATAATTATGTTAAAGTTTTATTGAGCGTTATAACCCTCGTGCATCATGGACTACGGTTCAAAATATATAACAACATTGAAAAGAATTTTATCCATAACATGACAACAATTGCATAGATAGTTTGCGACACAAACTCATACATAGAAAACTTCTATTACTATGAAATCTTTTTGACGGTTGTTTGTCAAGCAGGTCAGCCAACTTCACCAAGCCCAATGACGCGCCGAAAGAAGTTGCGAAACACAGTTACGTTAACTTCCAAGTACGGCTTTCTATGAACCTCGGCAAAGTTGTATTGCTGTGTTTATTGTTTTCTGTAACTCTTCACGAGGTCTGTAAATGAGTTTTATTAGGCTGACGTTTCGGCGGGGTCGCCTTCTTCAGAGCCTGAAAGGATCATTACAATTTGTGACTATCCGACCA